AGAACTGGCGACTTTCTAGTACAACTTTAGTACGCGGAGCAATCTGTAGAGCTGGAAGCTGAGAACTGGCGACTTTCTAGTACAACTCCTAGTACGCGGAGCAATCTGTAGAGCTGGAAGCTGAGAACTGGCGACTTTCTAGCACAACTTTAGTACGCGGAGCAATCTGTAGAGCTGGATGCTGAGAACTGGCGACATTGTAGTACAACTTTAGTACGCGGGGTATCTGGCAAGCTGGACGATGAGAACTGGCGACTTTGTAGTAAAACTTTAGTACGCGGAGTATCTGTGGAGCTGGATGGTGAGAACTGGCGACTTTCTAGTACAACTTTAGTACGCGGAGCAATCTGTAGAGCTGGAAGCTGAGAACTGGCGACTTTGTAGTACAACTTTAGCACGCGGAGTATCTGGCAAGCTGGACGATGAGAACTGGCGACTTTGTAGTACAACTTCAGCACGCGGAGCAATCTGCGCAGCTAGAAGCTGAGGACTGGCGACTTCGTAGTACAACTAGAGTTGTACTGGCGAACAGTGTAGTACGCGGAGGAGTCATCTCTCGCTGCTCATTCATCTCTCGCTGTTGAGTCAGCTCTTGCTATAGCCATCTCTCGCGGCTGAGTCATCTCTCGCGACTGAGTCATCTCTCGCTGCTGAGTCATCTCTCGCAGCGTGCGCGTTCAGTTCATACTGATAGTATTTGGTTGCAGTTATGCAGGACAGGACATTCAACTGCTGGTCAAGACACCACTCATCATACACCAGTCAGCATACACCACTCATCATACACCACTCGTCATACACCACTCATCATACACCACTCAACATACACCACTCATCATTCATCACTTGTCATACACCCCTCATCATACAAGACTCATCATACATAGTCTCAGGGTTCAAGACAGATTTTACATTCAAATTCGGATTCCATTCAGTCCGATGTGTGATATGCAAGGTTTGCCGCCACTGAAGAATGCCACGGTGGGATGTGTGTCGATGTGGACCGCATCCTTGGCAAGTCGTGGTGGCCGGATGTGTGTCATCTCTCGCAGGGGGCACACACACCTTACACACGTGGAATCCCGTGGGTCAGAAGTCCGGAGCGCGTGCGTTTGACTGGAGGACGCGCATGTTGGAGAGAACGTGGACACTCCTATAGGTCAATTTTTCTTATAGGAAACTTCCGCCGCCGGCTTGCCCGGGAACTGCTTGTATAATATATCATTCTTACTTCATCTACAAGCCGCCAATAATATTCGTTGTATTCTGTTAGCTAGTTCTAGTTAGTAGCAAGGCCAGCCTGAACTACCCGTCAGGCGCACTCTTTACACAAACATTGCATCGTTTTTTAGATATTGGCAGCTAGCACTAGTAGCATCCTTGCTCCTAGTAGTACGGCCAGGAGCTCCTAGTAGCTTCTTGCTCCTAGTAGCGATACCAGGAGCCCCTAGTAGCGTCCTTGTTCCTAGAATTCAATTGTATCTTGAAGATACCCACATATTGCAGGTCATGTCAGGCGTTCGACGTTGCCGCCTTGTGCGACTCACAGCTTGCAGCGGCCAGGCAGGATGTGCTTGGTGGCAAGGAATGTCAGTGACTCCGTAGTGGCCCATCAACACCACTCCAGATCTCCAGATCCTAACGTCTATTCTAGGCCGTAGACAGACAAAAAGAGCTAATGTAATATTCTGCGGCTGCGCTGCCAGTTTCAGGCTGTTTGGCCCTTCCGCTCGGAGAAGGATCACTTTGAGGCCGGCGGCCCCGGCAGCAGGTCTATGAGCCGATTTGAATGCTGCTTGTCACGTTGTCGCTCGTGCAAAAAAATACTACTTCGATACCTGGATACATTCTGCCAGAGTTTGACAACTCGGTTTTAGTCAGTGCAGTTTTGTAAGCAACCTGAACAGGTCATCAAGTCAGCCTGCCGGATTTGCCATAGCTTGGAGGACTGAGCAAGTCGGGGTGGCAAGTACTGGCATCAATTTCAGAACAACAGGAAGTGCATACACTGCGGCTGTGTTGTATTTCAAAAGAATTGACAAGGCACCCTTACTCAGACGTGTATGCTTTGCTCCAAGGCAGCACGATTCTGCATGCTGCAAAATGGAATGGTCAAAGTGCTGCCGTGCAGGACCATCGAGATGACCCTTTGGTAGCTCCCTGTCGCTGCGATGGTTCGTTGAGATATGTCCACAATACCTGCCAGCAGGCCCAATTTAACCTGGTGCTGGAGAATGCCTACACGGCATTATCAATTATATAGCAGTGGCGTTAACATGCGTTAACAACGTTTCAGCACTGCACGTTGACATTACACTGTGGAGTCCAAAT